CACGACGATTTCCAGCCTCAGGTCATAGTGACTAAGCAGTAGACCCGACTTCAGCAGTGGCTTTAACTTTTCGGACGATTACTGGCACTGTTTGGACCACTTCCATTCAGCTTCCTTTATCAACAACAGATTCACCGGATGAAGTAAGCGATGCATATACGGCAAAATTTCACTCTAATGGCTCACCTTTCCCAGGAATGATCTCAATGTGGAGAAATCCGTTAGTGGAGGTAACCGGTCTATCGCCTTGATATTATCTAGATCTGGTCTTCGGCTGTAGTGATCAATCACTAAGCTCAAGAACTTTATGGACTTCATCAAAACTTTGCATTTTTCCGCGCGCAAATGGAACCCGTACTCTGATTCTCAGCATCACCTCATCCAATCGCTGAAGCAGTTCATCTTGCGTTCGGCCCATTATGATAATGTCATCTAGATAGGCCGCGATCACAGGTCCGCCTGTCCGCATGGTGTCCATAACTTGCTAAAAAAATTGCAGTTGCTTTTTTGACTTTAAACGGTAGTCGATTTTATTCTTAGAGCCCGCGATGCGTGTTTATCGTAACATGCTTCCTGCTTCCTGGCTCAACTTCGAGTTGTAAATATGCATCCGCGAAATCAAGGGTAGCAAAGTACTTTCCTCTATTCAGCTTCACAAACAGGTCCTCGGAGAGTGGAAGTGGGTACTGATGAGGCTCCAGTGCGGCATTTAACCCAGTTGAGAAGTTGGCACACAAGCGCATCGTACCGTTGGGTTTCGCTTTCACAACAATGGGAGCAGCCCATGGTGAGAAACTGATTTTTTTCGATCACTCCAGCCTGCTGTAGCCGTTCAAGTTCCTGTTCCACGAGTATTTGCGAAGCGTACGGGACTGGACGTCTGAGTCGAAATACTGCTTTTGCGTCGGGAAGGAGAGTAAGTTTCGCTCGCATTTTTGTGCAGCGTCCAAGCTCGGATCGGAGGACGTAAAGGTATTTCGAGTAAAGCTGTTCGGAGAGGTTTCCACTGGGATGAGTCGATATGGCAGGATGGCTGATCATGACTTTTGTTTCGGAACACACACGATTCAGTGACTCGTCGAGCAGATTGAGCTTCGCAATCTAATCCATTCCGAGTAGATTAATGTCGATGCAAGAAGCTAGATAAATGATGTTATGGAGTTGCAAATTTGTGTACTTGAGCTTACAGTCAATTTCTCCGTCTAGCGACAATGGTAATCCTCATGCACTTTGTGCCGTGAGACCTGTGTGTTTGACCGGAAATTCACCCAGTTTAGCCCATGCCTATCAGGAAATGATGGTGATGTCAGACGCCATACCTAGCTGCAGCGATACCGGAACATCGTCGAGTTTCCCAATCAGTTGTTTTCTCTTGCTTGAGAATTTTGTGTGGTATGCGGCAAGAATCGCTTTCCTCTTTGCACCCTGAAATCTGGTCTTTATTTAACTTGAGCTTTGCTCGAAGCCTTGGAGTAAGCATGCGTCTAACGTGGTTCCGTGCCCGATAGCGAGTTTCGTTATGACCAAGGCGCTTACAGTTTTGACATTGATTACTTTTGTACACATAACTTCTCGCAAAGTGCCACTCGCCACAGTCCCAACACGCAGTGGGAGCTTCTGATTTGACACATCCCGATTTATATTTTGACTTTGAACGATTGTGCCATATACGTGGGGCTATTTTCCTGCACCCGAATTTTCAACCATTGTTGTGTCACGTTTTATGTTGAGTAACTGGCATTCAGCTGCATTCTACTGCAATGGCAACTGCGGTTCCTGTTCAGACATGTGATGGATACATTTTCGAACATCAGCGTCCGTATGGGATTGAAAACTGCATACAAAGGCTCTTGAATTGATCAGATGTTATAGTGCCCAGTTTAAAAAGTTCACACTCGATTCACGATGCCAGCATGTGTGACGAAATCATGTGCCTCTCGTTTGACCAATTTTAAACAGTTGTACCGGATACTGAATAAAGATGCTGGCTCACCGAATATCTGTGTCAATGTATTCAACGTCTCCTCGAAACTGTAGTCTCTTGGAATGTAGGGTAAAACAAATTTTTATCCCTTTCATGTTCAACCGCTCCGAGTTTCCGCAACAGCAAACGGACTTTCCAGGCATCATCTTGTTCGGCCAACTCCACACGGAAAATATCCTCGCACTTTTGGAACCACGATTCGAAGGTGACACCAGTAAATCCGACAAAAACGAACTCCGAAATCGATGCCGCAATAGAGTCCACGGAAGGTCGTGCTGGCGGTCCTGGAGATTCTGTTATGTTCAGCTTTTGCGACAACAACTCGATTAGCTGTCGCTGTGATTTTTCGTATTGCATCTGCTGCTGGAGCAGTGCCTGCATTTGTTCAAAAGAAATTGCCATGGTTCGTCAACTTCCCGTCGCCAGAAATGTTGTGTCGGAGCCCCGCGACTGCTTTCCACCCACTAACGGTAGTGAGAACACAAACGACCAAGGACTAGGATTCAAGGGTTCCTTTACATAGGGAAACCACTTCGTTATATAGCATCACGCACAAACGTGAAAGCCAACCAGAGTACGGAAAGTGCGTGGACAATTAAAATCAAGAAGAACTGAACAAATGAGGAACCAATCACGTTCACATACAGAAGGTCAAGTGAGCGATAGCGTCAGAGTATGGCTGTGATCTGTAGGTACAAATGACTCCAAATATATTTTATATATTTAGTCACAGTCTGTTAACAGACATTGTGTCATCAGAACCATGGCAGAAGAAAACAAAATACAGATAGGAACACGAACTGCGATTAAAAAATATGGGAAACGATTTTTTGGTTTTACACACGCCATTTTGTATCTTGTTTATGTTTTGTGAGTTTTTGTGTGTATTAAAGGGGGGATATAATGGCAGAACAACATTGACTCCACTGGTGTCTGTTGCGGGCCATGATGTCTAATGTTTCCAACCACTGCGATTCAGCATCACGTGGTCCCCAACCTGGAAGACGAACTAGTCCGAGTGCCGCCAAACTTGAGGTTACCTTCTTCATGCTCCTTCTCCACGTCATTGGCTGTCCACCGCGGCACTTTTTCCAATCGCTCCCTGGGAGTGCAAATAGCGCTCGACGCGGAAGACTATGGGCTGGCATGCGCAGAAAGTGCCCGAGCCAACGCATGCGATGTCGGAGGATAAGGTCCTGAAGATTGGCACTATTCGCTCCAAGCACATGGTCTCGCACCACTGTGTTGCTTACGTGGTATTGCCACCACACTGGAGCAATCCTTCGTAGACAGCGATTGTCGAAGACTGACAGCCGCTTCATGTCTTCCGAGTGACACCAAATAGCAAATAGGGAAACCGACATGATGCGTTAAGGCAAAAATCAGTGAACCAACATAGCAGATTTAAAGTCTGCAGTCATGAACGGCTACACAAGCATACCTGTATTTTTATTCCTCCTCTAGCATACATCTCTCGTCGAAATAATTTGAACACAGAGCAAAGGAGAGACGGCAGGAACACAGTACGCTCACTTTTCAAAGTAAGCTCGGGATTAGGTTTCCTTTGGACACACGCATGAGAGCATGAAAGGAAACAGAGATAACAAAGTGAATAGGTGTTTCTGATATTTCTTTCAGTCACAACGGACACAACATATATATGTACTTAGCTGAATGTGACGAGGTCTGGGCCACTTGCTGAGGTTGATGCTTCTTCACCGCAGTTGGGCTATACCGACTTACAAATAAACAACATTTCAGCTAATTCATTATCGCCACTCCCAATCAGCAGGCTTAGGGTAGTCTGGAAAAGTACCAGACGCCGGTGTTTCGACCTTATGGGTCTCGGCAATGTTGCGCTTCCCAGCGGTCCCCTGTCGGGTTCCGCCCTCATGACTTCAGGATGCCAGCAGATAGCGACACTTCGCCATGAGCGACAGTCGCGAACCTGCGTGATTGACAGTTGACTATGATATAGCTCAGCTCATCTTCCACTGTCATGCCAGTTACGAACTGTGCAGAGAACAATGGCTAGCCTCACGAGCTAGGACTTTCCGCATAGCGCCAATGCACAGCATAGGACTTAGAAGCTATACGGACAGATTTTATAGTACTGATGAGTAGGAGTGAGAATTTTGGAAGAATCCAGCTAATTCATCATCGCCACTCCCAATCAGCAGTCTTAGGCTAGCCTGGAAAAGCACGAGTTTCCTAATCTGGACAAAAAGTATTCAACTTTATTTAATTTGCCCTGTTCTGTTATTCTGCTGCATCAATCGTGTCAACTTTGTGTGTCTGTATTTCTGCAAATGATATAGTGGTTGTCTGAAATCTCCGGTGTGGCTACGCTTGACGCGAATGTTGAAAAGTGCCTACTTGCCTAACACCCTCCACCTCGATTACTGTCTCCAGGAAACTGAGCCGTAGATGGAGGAACGGGGTTCATGATCCTCTTGGCTAGGCAAGGCTCAAAGAGTGGTTTTATCCACTGTGGAACGGATTACGGCTCAGTCATCGCCATGTGTACGTCTGGTACGTATGGTTCTCCAATTAGGCATGAATGCTTCTGCTCTGCCTGTTGAATGAGTGTGGGCCGGCTCCGTTGATGAAACATGCCTCCCATCCTTATACCTCCCGGTCATAACCCTTCCGGTTTACACCGAATATGGGGTGTGTGGGTGGTGCAGAGTAAGCCACCCATAGTCCCTGAGTAGGCGCAGGCGTGCTGTGACTGTCCCCATGAAGGCCACAGTGACAGGCTAATCCGGACACGTATGCCGTCAACCATGACGAGGTTTACAAGTGGTGAGGAAAAGAACGATAGACAGTTTAACCGAGCGACTATACTGAATTAACCCCTGGGGTGAGACGTACAATCGATACCTAGAGGGAAACAAATCCATTTTGTCTTGGCTCGTCTCTATCGATCGCTGGAGCACCATAAGAATTGGAGGTCAGTGTGGTGGATGGAGGAAGAAACAGCTGCAATACACAACACGAAACACATAACGGCTACATAGGGCGTAACGCAACAAAGAGGAGTGTGCTCGTTCTGATTGATCAAGAAAAGGCTTAGTCATGGGCTGAGAAAACCAAAAGGTGAAAAAAGGGTGAAAGGATTACGTGAAGATAGAGAAAAAGCAGCAAAAACCCAGGCAGACCGGTTGGGTAGGCAGCAAAAAGAAGCGGTTGGCAGAAGTAATCACAGTTTCGCATGGGAATGCATATTGCAACAGTGGACTGATCAACCTGGATCCAGAATGGTTTCATGAATGATTGTATCTGTCCCTTGGCCAGCGAGACGCTGCCGACGAAATCTGATCCAACGTGCTCGCCACTGGCGACCGACGCGAGTGTGCAAAAGTGCCTCAGGTATGCCGCACACGGCTTGACGTATAAACCCGACGGTAGCAAAAAGACCACCGACCAGAGCGGCCAAACGAGCCAAGAATGTGCCGAACAATTCCCTCCATTCGGTCACTTGAACCCGCAACGGAAAGGTCTCGTAAGTGATGAAAATGCCTGGTACACCATGTTTCCCTTCGCTGTGATTAATGGAATGGTTCTGTGAGGGGTATAAGGAGAAATTTGGCAGATGAAGAGTCAGTTAATGCACGAAGTGTGAAATCACACGAACACCGGCAAGGTATTGTACAAGGCGCTCGATATTTTCAACCTATTGACATATACAACTATATTGCACTACCGGTGCGTGGACGTCGCAAGTGTGTTGCGACAGAGAGCCCTTTTCGTACCGGAAGCACTCGGTGAGAAGAGCGGACACTATTTTAGTGCGATAACGGGGGGCCCGAAAAGGCATGACAACGAATGAGGCGAATGATTGGGCCTCAGTTGAGGACTAAAAAGTGTCGGCAAGCCACAAGGTTCGTTCAGATCAGACGTAGAATGGTGGTTTCATCACGGTCGCTTCGGATGAGCTACCATCATCTGCATACTTTTGTATTGGATTTGGAATAATGCACGGTATACTGGTGCTCGAGTTTGACAATAAAAGAGCAGATTCGAAGTTAAAGAGGCCGGATACGGAAAAATCGGAGTGCAATTTTATTCCGAAATTTGCTGAGAATGGTCTTCAGGTTTGAATGATGTAACAATTAAGTGATTGGTCTTAGCAGCTTATAAGCCAGATGGTCTAACCACCAGTCGGGAAAAGCCCAAGACGGCCATTGTTAGACCAACTGGCAAGTAAGCTGCTGGGACGTATCAGTAAAATTTTTTATCAAAAATCCACCCGCTCATTAGTAATCGAAAAGCAGCCCTCAGGCTTGAAATGTTATGCCTGCATAGCTGCGGTGCAATGGCCGTTTCATGTTCGTGGAAGATGGGTTACGCGATATCCTAGGTAGTATGCAAGTTATGTCGGTCTACCACCGACCTCCCATGGCAGATGGGCATAAGTTGGGTTCGGTTCCTATGAGACCAGAGGGTGCGCATCACTGACGAGTTACAATAGGGTGAAACGACCGTCTGGTGTCTTTCCGGATTGATGGGCAGACTACCTGGCTTGTGAGCTGCTGGGACGAATCAGTGAAATTCCAGCAAAAATCCCACTCCAATAGCAACATAATAGTGATGATTTCTACTTCAGAGTTACATATGACTGTAACTGCGAACAGCCACATGACGTCTAGCCTACACGTAGGGACCTCCAAAGGTAGAGCTGGGTCGTAGTAACCAAGTACTGGTGCACAGCTAATAAGATGCATGATGGTTGTAAAGACGGCCTCTTGCTTTTCTCCGCAACTCCACTTCACATCTTTGTGAGTCAAGCTTCGGAGCAGCGTCATGATTACAGTAAATCTTGGCAAGAATCGACTCGAATAATTCATCATGCCATTTAAACGATTAACAGCCTTGAGGTCCTTAGGTTGTGGCATCTCCTGCATTGCCTTAATTTTTCCGAGATCGATCTTTATTCCCCCGGATGTCAGAACGTGCCTGTGGAAAATCAATTCCGGTTTCTGGAGCTCAATTTTCTCGCGTTTGAGTGTTGTTTTTTTGCACGCATCGTTGTAAAAAGTGGTGCAGATTGGTGTCATGTTCCTGTTCGGTTGAGCCACAAATCAGTACATTGTCTGTTACAAAGGGTACATCATCTAGGTCGTCAACAGCTTGCAGGAACCGCTTTTGAAAAATTTCGTTCGAAACCTTCAAACCAAACGGTAAGCGTAGCCATTGAAAACACTCGAATAGTGTGGCACACGTCGTTAAGAAACTGACAGTGTATAGCGCTGTCAACGTAAAGCATTATTCAATGGCAAATCCCCGTTCTTTTTCGTAAGAATCGCGACTTGGCTAACCCAGTCTGTCGGCTCGTTGACCTTGGTGATTACGCCCAACTGCGTCAAGTTACCTAAACCGGTGGAGAATTTGTCAAGTAAAATAAACGGAACCCTTTTATACGGCAGTCAGTCGTAGTGACGGATCTAGTGACAAATGAACGGGACCATCAAACCTCCCCAAACTTAGGTTAAACACGAACTGACAATGTGCACTAACATCTATCTCCGCTTCACACGCATGAAAAAAACGACCGTGGGTAAAAGGAACAAAGCCAAGACACCGGATGGAATCAATCCCGAGAAGCGGCGTGAACTCTTCCTCTACGACCACGAAATCCAACTGATGTGAAGAGCCGTCTTTGGGATTGATCACATTGATTGTGGCCAAACCTTTCGGCTGGAACTTGGAACCGTTCCACATGCGTAGGAATCCCTGATCAGGTCGCACATGAATTCCTGGGCACCGGTTCGCTGGAATTATGTTGATGGTAGCACCCGAGTACAACTGGAAACGCATCATCTCGTTACCAACCAATAATCCTGCGTAGATGCACTTGTTCGGTCCCATCTGAGACACGTCGTTGAATGTTCAGAGTCAGAGGACGTTGTGCCACGATTGAATGCATTCACCTTCCATAACAGGAAACACTGAGAGAAACGAATTCGTTTGCCACATCTAGTGCAAATTCAGTCCCAAGCCGGACATTGATCGCGATCCTTCGGGTGTCGCGCGGCACAGAATTTGCAAGTTTTGTGTGTCTTGATACCAAGCTTCACAATTTTGTCAGGTAAACTGGAAACGGCATATAGCTCTGCTTCGAACGGCAACCGCATTGGCTGGATGTCGTGATGATGATTCAATGTCTGAGCGATAAATGTCTTTTTCCTCAACAGCCGCTTGGTTCTCTTTTCACCATTGATCCCCAGCACAATTTTATATCGGATGAGACTGCCAGTCATACAACTGCAAACGTTACGGGAAACAGATAGGATCTTCAGGTACGTAACATAGTTGTCGATAGTTTGGTTTGGGCGCCGGTTTCAGTTAAAAAAGAGATAGTACTGATACGCATCGTTAGTCTGACCTTCGCAGAAATCGCCGAAAGTTCGGATGATAGTTTCCGTGATCAACTGGGTCTTCGTCCTTTTCGTATTGTATCGTTTTAAATATGCGGCGCGCTTCAGCTTCGACCGTATATTTAAACAGCGCCAATTGATACGCCATCGGTTGTTCATTCAGTCACATCAGTAGACAGAAATCGATCCACTTGCTTTTCAAGATTCTCCAATTACTGGCCATGTTCAACAAGGTAATCGTTTGCACGACTAGCCGCGCTCCAATCAGCAACTGAGCACTGTTCGGTGATCTTGTCTTGGTGCTCTTTGACACCATGTCGCAGAAATCGGTCCTTTAGGAACAAACCGTTTATTCGGTAAAACGAGCTCAGCAAAAATG